TTTTTTTTTGCTCCCCCCCAAAAATTCGCAGCGCCGGGAGGTGCCTGGAAGCTCCAGGGAGGGAGAAACGCCCCCAAATCCACCCGAAATCTCCTCAAAATCCCCCCGAAATCCCCAAATCCCGGCAGCGCGCGGGGTCCCAACGCCAAATCCCCGCTCTCCGGCACCCCCGAAACCTCCCGGATTCCCCCCAAAAACACCCCCGGGCAAAGCCGAATCCTCCGAGTCGCGACAACCCCGCTCCCGACGCTTTTTTTTGGGGTCTTTTCTTTCTTTTCCAGTGGATGCTCAACCAAAAAAAACCAATAAAAAATAGAAATAAATCACATTTTAAACACCAGAGGTACCAAAACCGCGTCCCCGCCCGCGCCCAGCTGAGCTCGGGGGGATCCCAGAGCCGAGCTTAGCAAAGCGGGGTTTTAAATCAAACATCTCCGTGCTAAAGCCGGGCTTTGCGCCGCTTTAATCCCGGCTTTAACAGCCTCCCGCAGCGGCCAAAGCCGGCCTTGGGAGCCCAGCAAAGCTCGGCCTAAAGCTCGGCCCAGCAGCGCTCGGGCTCTGCTCGCAGCGAGTAAAGTTGGAACTCGGAACTTACCAAACTTAATTCTCCCCGTGTTTTGGTACTTCTTAAGTGACTTTGAGAGGGATGTGGAGTGGACTGTCAGGTCCCAAAACATTTGTTCGCCTTCCCCTTTGGTAATATTTGTTTTTTAATCTTTCTTTCTTTCCTTTTTTCCTGTTTTTTTTCCTTTTTTTCCCCTTTTTTCCTCCTGTTTTTCCTGGGTTTTTTTTTCATTTTTTCCTATTTTTTCCCCTATTTTTTCTCTTTTCTTTCCTGTTTTTTTTTTCCTTTTCTTTCCTGCTTTTTTCCCTATTCTTTCTCTTTCCTTTCCTTTTTTTCCCTTTTCTTTCCTGTTTTTTTCCCTTTCCTTTCCTTTTTTTTTCCTTTCCTTTCCTGTTTTCCCCCCCTTTCCTTTCCTTTTCTTTTCCTTTCCTTTCCTGTTTTTTTTCCCCTTTCCTTTCCTTTTTTTTCTCCTTTCCTTTCCTTTTTTTCCCTTTCCTTTCCTTTTTTTTTTCCCTTTCCCTTCCTGTTTCCCCCTTTTTTCCCCTGTTTTTTCCCCCCTTTTTCCCCCTTTTTTTTTTTTTAAAAAAAACCCCGATATCAAACCACCCCCCAAAAAGTGACTTCGACATTTAGATGTCAAATGGACAGGGGGGGTTTTATCTCCAAGTTAGATCGTAAAAATCGCCCAGACCTCAGCCAGATACCCCTCACTGGCTCTCAAAAGTCACGTGAGCCCCATAAAGTTAAGTTTTATGGTTTTGGGGAGTTGACAATCTCCGATATATTTCACATTCTCCAGAATGTTAAGTGACACTTTAACTGCTGCCTCTGCCTTGTAAGGGGCAGCGATGGGTGAGCGCTTTTCCAGATGATGAGAGATAAAAAAACCTTATTTTTCCTGGGGCTAAAACGGGGGTTTTTTTGTTTTTTTTTTTTTTTGTGGGTTCCGAGTTCACTGCGGTGCTCAAAAGTCCTGAAATATTCTCAGATTTAAGTGAAAATACCAAAAAAACCACAAAAACAACAAAAAAAATTAATATTGTTGGTGAGGGTTGAATATTCTCTGATTTAAGTGAAAATACCCAAAAAAACACAAAAACAACAAAAAAAAATTAATATTGTTGGTGAGGGTTGATGGGGAGCAAAGAGGGGCTGGCGAAAAGGAGATTTAATTCCGATTAAATTCCGATTAAATTCCGATTTAATTCCGATTAAATTCTGATTTAATTCTGATTTAATTCTGATTTAATGCTGATTTAATTCTGATTTAATTCTGATTTAATGCTGATTTAATTCTGATTTAATGCTGATTTAATTCTGATTTAATGCTGCTTTAATTCTGATTTAATTCTGATTTTTAGGAGGTTTCAGCCTCGTTCCCGTCACAGGCCCAGGGAATTGGGTGTGGAAATGGGATTAAAAAAGGGGGAAAAGGGTGAAAATCCATTTTCCAACTCCAGCCCGGCCTCACAGGGGGACTCGAGGCCAAGTTTGGGGCTGTCCTGGGGTTTGGGGAGGGGGCTCGGGGGGGTCGCTGCGATTTTGAGTTTCAATCCTCTCACCTTCCCCTCCCAGCCCTTTTCACCTGCTGGCCAAAACCAAACAAAAAACCACCAAAAAACACCAAAAATCCGCATTTTTTGTGTATTTCTCCCGATTTGTGCTTTGCTGCTTTGGGTTTTATTTTTATTTTTGTTTTTATTTGCCTCGGGGCTCTTTTTTTTTGCTTTTAAACCACCCCAAAACCACCAAAAAACCACCAAAAAATCACCAAAAACCACCAAAAATCCACCTTTTATATAAATATATATATTTATCCCTACCTGTGCTTTGCTGCTTTGGTTTTTTTTTCTTTTTCTGGGTTATTTTTTTTTAATTTTCCTTTGCCTCTGGGCTCCTTTTTTTTTTGCTTTTAAACCACCCAAAAAACCACCCAAAATCGACTTTTTAATTTTTTTTTAATATTTCTCCCTATCTGTGCTTTGCTGCTTTGGGGCTTTTTTGTTTGTTTGGGTGATTTTTTTATTTTTTTCTTTTTTTTTTCTTTGCCTCTGGGCTCTTTTTTTTTTTGCTTTTAAACCACCAAAAAACCACCAAAAACCACCAAAAAACCACCAAAAACCATCAAAAAACCATCAAAAAACCACCAAAAAACACAAAAAACCACCAAAAAACCACCAAAAACCACCAAAAAACCATCAAAAAACCACCAAAAAAACACAAAAAACCACCAAAAAACCACCAAAAAAAACCCACAAAAAACCCACAAAAAAACACCAAAAAAACCCAAAAAAAACACCAAAAAAACACCAAAAAAACCCACAAAAAACCCACAAAAAACACCAAAAAAACCCAAAAAAACACCAAAAAAACACCAAAAAACACCAAAAAACACCAAAAAAAACACCAAAAATCTGTGGGTTTTTTTTTTTATCTTTCTGTGCTTTGCTGCTTTGGGTTTTT